AAGAAAGGACTTGTGTCGCTAAAGTTTCGTCGGAACGATGTTACGGAAAATTAACTAACGAATGGAGACTAACAATATATATATATATATACTTAAAGTATAGCGTATCTATTTTATTGTTGTTGATTTTTCAGTTTAATATGCTATCTTCGTCTGAGCAGAATTCAATGGCTTTCAGTAACTGGCCTACAGGAAGTAACTTCTTCAGTAATATCACAAAATAACCATAAGCTCAAAGTTTCAGGTTTGCTAAATGATACAAACTCTTAGAAGTCACCCTTTGTTTTTTATGAGTGATATAGGTATTAAGAGACAAAAATTTAAATCAAGAAAATTGGCTCATTTACTCAAGAAGAAAAATATTAGTTTTGGATATAGCATAAAAACCATTAGAGCAAGAACTAAACAAACAACCTGGCTGTTTTTCAAACGTATTTCTCTGGTATATTTATAATCTAGTTAATACCAAGTTACCTCAAATATATTGAGTTGTATGGATCTACGATTATATAACATTCAAAAAACAATAGGTATAAGATATCGCGTATTAACTTTGATGTAGAAGACAACAAAGGAAGCTGCAAGATGATGATTTATGTGCAGTAGTGGTCCATTCATTACAACTCTTGGCATTTTATGCACATTAAGTTGAATTCTAGTGGATAAACTGGCTGTGTAAAAAAGATCGCAACTAAAATTTGTAAAAAAAGAAAAGAAAAAGTAGATCACCATATTAAAAGCTTAATTTTAACTATTATGGTTCAGAAATGTTTTTAAGGTATAGTATTAAGGTTATTGCTACCATGGAAATATATATAGAACATATAGCTAGCTAACATGTACTTGTTATATTTTATTTGTTAAATTTTCTGCAAAGCTACAATAGGGCTATTTAAGCTAGCTGTTCCTTATTTTAAAGTGATATACTAGAGAGAAGGCAGCTAGCTAGTCAACACCACCTATTGACAACTTGTGGACTACTCTTTACTACAGAATAGTCGGACTGACCTTCACATTAAAACTCCCATGGCTAAAAGATCGAACATGTTCGGCGACAGATTTCGATTCCCCGACCCGCAGCTTGCTAGTCGAGCGCCATAACCAGTAGACCATGCCAGGACACGTGTTATATAAATGCAATTGACAATTATATACATAAAGATCAGTGAGTTTACACGAATAAACGAAGCAGAAATAATTTAGAAAATGTATTTTCTCTATTTCACACGTCTTTCAGTTGCTATCACATGAATTTAATGCAGCGTGTAAAATAAAATTCTTAACATGGGTGCTGTTATAAGAAACTGGAGTTCTAGTTCAAGGTTTGTTTATTTTATGTTAAATTATTATTTTGTGTGAATCGAAAGAATTAAATACTACAATAAACGCATCAGTAACAGCATTTCAAAACCACACAATTCATTTTATAATACTGAAATTTTGTAGTGATTAAAATTAATATTATTGTCACTTCCTATGCAATAAAGTTTGATTTTCGATAAATCAAATGTTTGTATATATGCAGCGTCAGAAATAATTATATAACTGGTGAACAAGATGGGTATAAAGTACAAATATTATGGTATTTCTCACCCCTCTACTGTACGAAAATTAACTGCACCAGAGTACAGTCACGTGTTGATAGTTT